ACGAATATTGGGTGGAAGTGAGTTCCAGAGTTTGGGAGCAGAGCGGCTGAAGGCTCTGCACCCCATTGTGCTGAGACGGGCAGAGCGTACAGAGAGGTGGAGGGAGGATGAAGACATGAGTGAGCGAGAAGGAATAGAGATCTGAAGAAGATCTGATAGATAGGGGGGGGGGCAAGGTTATGGATGGTTTTGAATGTGTAAAGAAGTATTTTGAAATTGATTCTATGTTTAACAGGGAGCCAGTGGAGCTGTCGGAGGATGGGGGTGATGTGATGGAAGGAGGGGGTTTTCATACTGATCCGGGCTGCTGAATTCTGAACAAGTTGAAGTTTATGGAGAAATTTGAGATGGACGCCGAAAAGAAGTGAATTGCAGTTGTCGATGCGGGAGGTGACGAGGCTGTGAACAAGGATAGCAGTAGTGTGAGGGGTGAGAGAGGGACGGAAACGGTTGATGTTACGGAGGTGTAAATATGTGGACCGGGTAATGTTATTGATGTGAGAGTGGAAAGATAGTGAGCTGTCGAGGATGACACGCAACCTCTTGACCTGAGGGGAAGGAGATACAGTGGAGTTATCAATTGTGAGGAAAAAATTGTCAGCTTTGCATAGTGTGGATTTAGTACCGACGAGGAGGAGTTCTGTTTTGTTGCTGTTTAACTTGAGGAAGTTATGGGTGAACCAAGATTTGATTTCTGAGAGACAGTGAGAGAGGGAGGAGGGTGGGAGGGAGGCATCGGGTTTTCTGGAGAGGTAGAGCTGGGTGTCATCCGCGAAGCAGTGAAAGTGAATACCAAATTTGCGAAAAATATTGCCGAGCGGAAGAAGGTAGATAATGAAAAGGAGGGGACCGAGGACAGAACTCTGGGGAATACGAGAAGTGACGGGGAGGGATTGTGAAGTGAAGGAATTGAGTTGGATGAACTGAGAGCGGCCAGTGAGATATGAATGGAACCAACTTAGGGGGGGTGTGGGTGATGCCTAAGGTGGAGAGTCTATGAAGGAGGATGAAGTGCGAAATGGTGTCGAAAGCTGCACTCAGGTCAAGGAGAATGAGAATGGAGATTAAGCCAAAGTCTGCTGCCATGAAGAGATTTTTTGTGATTTTTATGAGAGCTGTTTCTGTACTGTGACAGGGACGGAAGCCGGACTGGAATTGTAAATAAAGACTATTACAGGTGAGGTGGGAATGGAGCTGAGAGGCAACAATTTTTTTCAAGAATTTTTGAGATGAAAGGAAGGTGAGAGATGGGGCGTCGGTTATTGAAGTCATTGGGATCTGAACCGGGTTTTTTCAGGATTGGGGTGACAGCTGCGATTTTGAAGGATTTGGGAAGAATTCCAGAGGACAGAGAGGAATGAATAATGGCTGAAATGAATGGAAGCAGAGAGGGCAAGCAAGATGTGACCACAACTGTGGGGAGGGGAACTAGCTGACAGGAGGAAGTCTTGGATTTGATGATGAGATCTGAGATTAATGAGGGATGGGGGAATTCAAAAGAGGATAACAGTTGGCAGGGGAAAGGGTGGTCAGAGGGGGGGAGTGATAGAGAGGAGCCCAAGTGCTGGTGGATTTTGTTGATTTTTTCAATGGAAAATAGGAGGAGAGCGTTGCAAGTGTCAGGAATAAAAGTGAGGTGGTAGGGAGACAGGGGGTTGAGTGATTCTGTTCCAGAGGGAGAAGAGAGTCTTCATATTTCCGGCGTTAGAACGGATGAGTCCAGAGTAGTATTGTGATTTTGCTTGTGAGATGGAGTCCTTGTCGGCGGATAGTTGAGCTGTGTAAATGTCCTTGTGAGCAGAGAGACCAGTTTTTCTGTAAAGTCTTTCAAGCTGACGGGTTTTGGATTTCATGGAACGGAAATAAGGGGTGAACCAGGGGGCAGACCGGGTAAAAAAGACAGAGCGGGACTTGACAGGAGCAAGCGTATTGAGGATATTGAGGAGACCAGAGTTATATCGGGAAGTCAAATCGTCGGGAGTGGAGTCTGTGTCCAGAGTCAAGGTGGCGATCCGTGAAGTGAGAGAATCGATGCTAATGTCTTTAATATTAGGGTAGGTGATGGTACGGGGTGATTTGGCGATTGAGAGTTGGAGGGTAATGTTAAGTGAAATGAGGAAGTGGTCCGTTATTGGAAGTTCATCAGCAGTACAGGTGGAGGGGGTAAGACCAGAGCAGCAAATCAGGTCCAAGGTGTGACCTTTGATGTGTGTGGGAAAGTCTACAACTGACGAAAACCAAAACTGTCAAGTGAAGAGGTGAGGTCAACGGTAAGAGGAAGGGCTGGATTGTCCATGTGTGTATTAAAATCTCCCAGAATGATTATATTTGGAGATAAAAAGGAAAGATGGGTGAGGACAGCAGACAGTTCGTTTAAAAAGTCACTATGAGGTTTGGGGGAGCGGTAGACTGTTGCAATTATCTTGGGAGTGGGTCCAGATATTTGGCAGGCAAGGCATTCAAACGAGGAAAGTGGAGGAAGAGAGACTGGAACTACTTTCCACTTTTCGCGATATAATATCGCGAGACCACCTCCGCGACCGGAGCCACGGGGCTTGGACATGTAAACAAATCCCGGGGGAGTTGAGTCGTTGAGTTGGGAAAAGTCGCCAGGGGTTTGCCAGGTCTCGTTCAAACAAAGAATATCGAACTTACGGTCAGCGATGATATCTTAGCGAACGGATGTTAAGGAGCCCGAAGTTGACGCCGGCAGTGTCGCTGTTTCGAGGACCGTTAGCCGACCTAGCCAGGCCGGCTAACACCCGATGGTCGACAGATTGGCCGGCGTTTCTGGGTGGGCGACGGGAGGATGACCACAAGGAGGTGATGCTGTTTGATCGGTTGAGGCAGAAGCCCCGACGAGACCCACGGTGGATGTATTTCCGGGGAGGAAAACGAGCAATGTCCGGGAGCAGGTGTAGAGCAGGAGGAGGGCTCAGCCATTGGAAGCGGAGCCTGAATACTGGAGCAGACCCTCGACAGGTCGATGGAAGAGCAACATGACGGTCCACAACAGTAGAACCCAGACACAGGCCCTGCCGACCCCGATCACGGGGCACAACGGAGCGGAGATGGCGCGGGGCCTGGTCCGAGAGCAGGGCAGGTAGGATGCTGAGACGCCGGGACGAAAACTGTCGAAAATGGTTGAGGGTATGAAGCAATAGTGGATTGGGGGCTGGGGTGGAATGATTATCGTATGAAGACAGTAATACCGTGCGAGAACAGTAAAACAGTCGAGCATAAAAACATTGTAAAAACACAAAAGTTTGAGGGAGAGCAGCGGCAGCCAAGCGCGGCAGCGTTCACTTGATACCGTATATATATAT